TCTCTGACACGTTGCTCCAATAAAATGTGCCAACATATTACATATTAGTAATATACATAATTAACAACCTGAGTTTCCAAAGCAGCCATACATATATGCCCTGATAATTTGCAAGAAAATGACAGTGGAAATTAATTAAGATGGGTGACAACATAATTTTGACAAAACACAAAACATAGATTTCAGGGAAGATGCTGTGCGGCAGGTCTAGTACGTTTTCACCAAAACAAAACAAAAAACAAAAAAAAAAAAACACTTAAGTCCCTTACGTTTTCCCAAATTGGTTAGCAATGACCTAATTCAGCATATAGAATATGGTGGGAGCCAAAAGCAGGAGAAAGAGACAGTCTAATTAAGTATCAAATTGCCTAATCTAATTAGCAACGTAACCCTGACCAATTTCATCAACAAGAAGCATATATCGCTGGCTAGCTAGCTAGGGCATACACTACCTTCAACATATAAATATACCAGTGAAATATCTATAATTAACCTTCTTCCAACATATTTAGTAATTGGGATCAAATGAGTATTAGAATTTATAATATGGTATGACCAAGTGTCTGTGTGATCGAATCTATACAATCCCAAATATTAACATTCTTGAGTTATTGGGATCAAACGATTTATGACAAATATGACTTGAATACATTTATACGCCGCCGACAATAAGAAGTCACCGGGTTGAGTCTCAATGCAGGGTTTGGAAAAAAGTGTTCATATACCAATGCGGTACTCTGTAATTTCTTAAAATAGTAACAAGCTCTTTAATTAATTTCTTAATTGTGGAATAAAACAATAGACCACGTAAATTTACATAATTCTTTTTGATTTGTTTCTTATTCATTACCAATTTCCAGTTAACAAATACAGTACTTATGACATATATAAATATAACCGAAGACCCACAACGTACGATGATAACATATAGAGATATCTCACTAGTAGTACCTGATGTATAGTATACGTCTTACGTACGCCAGTCTGACCCATATATATATATATATATACGATTTTTATTTGTTATATATATATATATATATATATATATATATATATATATATATATATATATATAAAACAAATAAAAATCGGTAACCAGCCTCCGCTGTGAGCCTGTGACTTAGCGTTCAAGAATATGAGTACACAATGTCGACCACTCACTGAGGGCGAAAAAAGTCAAGATATGGTTAAGTAAGAAATCTACAAAGAAAGAGATAGTTACCGTAGGAGATCAGCCGTACAAGAGAGATCAAAGAATCAAGCTTGTGTGTAAGAATGAAAATAGCTCTGATTTTAGAACCGGACGGATGATTGAACCGGAAAAATGACTGGATTATGATTTAGTGGTTAATTGTTTAGAGAATTATTGGTGAACCGTTGATAGAATCGTTCATGCACTATAACAAAAAAAAAAAGGCATATACAATACAATGTATATCATTAACCATAAAATCTTTCAAATTCATATCATTCATTACCAAAAGTTCTATCAAATCATTCAAACTACCTCACAGAAGATTTCATAAATTCTTTTATTTCGTTCAAGTTAGTAATTATGGTGGCAAGCGGTAGTGGAATCCTCTGTTTTATATTGCGAAAATCAGTTGCGCACACTCATCATTACACTTGCAAGTGAATTGAACCGATATAGCTCTAGGCAATTAATTTAATACAGAGTTAGATTGCAGAAATTGTTGAAGTGACAATATGAACCACATGTACAATCGGATTTGTAATTTCATTGATGTAGAGGTGCTCTGACAAACTAGGGGATCTATGAATGAAACCATGTTGGTATCCCAAAAATCAAAACTAATCATCGGGAGAGGTTGTGCTCTCTAAAGCTGCACTATAATCTGAGAGTTATTGAGTTACAACAATTAATTACCCTAGGTTCTATATAATGGGCATAACACGGCTACTAATTGCACACACAAAACGTAGCTGTGGTAAAAATTCATATTACTAATTATTTACATTCCAAACGATAATTGGGTCTCAGATATTAATCTGAAATTGCTAAGCTAGGATAGGACCGACGGGTTCCTCCTACGAGCTATAGCTTGTACGTTGCAAAATAGACCAAACCGCTCGCCTAATAACGTGCAGATATAGGTAATTAATCATTTGGAAATTTGCGATTAATAATCACTAATCATCAGTGTCAATGTCAACTGAAGAAAAGCCAAAGCCAAAGGAGTGAAAGATCGAAAAAGACCGCAACCAAACAAGACAGTGTTTTGTCCTCATTATTAGTGTGGTCTTAATTAAGTCCCCCATTATTATTATACAAAACTCCCGCCATAATTTTCCCACCGGCGCGCGCATTAGTTAATAAACCACCCGCACACGCATTCGTTATTTTATATTCTGTAGTTGGTGTTAATGGTGCGAGCGAGCAAGCTTGAATTCACGAATCCAGGGTTCCTTGTCGAAGAGACAACGGAGGTGGGTCTCATGAGAAACAGTGACGGTGTCGGATATGTTTGGATCTTTATCCCTTTTTTTTTCCCCCCACCTTTTGTTATTTTCAACTCCGTTTGGAGTTGGCTAAGCGACCGATGAACTTTCTTGCATCGCTGGGTTTCCGACCTTGATTTCAACGGTGATCCGATGTTCTTTTTGTGAGGATCAGCAAGTAACATCGTTTAACAAAATATGCTAAAAAAAGAAAACCAAAACAAATACCTTTGCTTCTGTTACATTCAATCCCGCACGATTTGCCGTTGTGGGCGACGGAGAGAGGGAAAGAGAGAGCTGCCACCGTGGCCGTTGTCGCCGGAAAGAAACTAGAGAATAAGATGAAATCGACGGCGGCCGGGTTTCTATTTTTGGCTTTTCGGTTGGTTGTGGGTGGCTGCTATATTTTTTATACGTTTATTATTCTGTAGTTAATTATGCACGGATAGGTTGGATGATAGACAGTAGCTTATTAGGTTATTCACTACTTTATAATGAAATTTCGATTGCCTTGTTGATATGCCTATGGCAGAAAAGAAGGAGAAAATTGACTTTTCAATCAATTTAATTAAGGGTACAAACTAAAGAATCTATTTGGTTTTCTATTTTTCTTCACAGGCTCGAATATTCTTCATTTTAACTGGAATTTAATAAATTACGTACAAATAAACCATATGCATAGTAATCTACAAAATGATATTGTAATCTATAATCATTTATGAGATCCCACCCCCCCCCCCTCGTTCTCAGGGGCGGAGCTACAGCTGGTCTCGGGGGGGCCCCGGCCCCCCCGAGAATAGTAAAAATTACGTCTAAACTAAACTACATCGATATATTGAAAATTTCGTAAAAATTAACAAACTATATAATAAGTTTAGTGTGCCAATTTGAAGAACCAAAGTAAGCATAGTCCAGCGGGAGTGGAAGGGAGTTATTATGTAGCTAATTGGGGGTTCGATACTCAACCTCTGTCATAATTAAGTTTTTAAATTTATTATTTCTTTACTAATTTAATTAGATATAATTACTTTCAAGTTTCATGTTGTATGGTTTCTTCATTTCATTATTTGCAATATTGTTTCTTTGCTCATTTAATTTCAAATTTAGTTTTTTACCACTTTGCAATTTTATATCACTGAAAAATAATTCATTTTGACCTTCCATAAGTTATTCTACATCAATATTTTGACTCTAATCATCTAAAATGATTAATCATAATACTATTAAAAGTAAAATTTACTTTGATTGTCTTGCTTAATTTTTAATTTTTTATCACCTTTCCGTGATAACAATATAAATTTTTTTCGGCCCCCCCGAACGTCAAATCCTAGCTCCGCCCCTGCTCGTTCTAATGGACATGTTAGGCTTATGAGCAAACTTGTCCCTGTCGATAGTCGTCCACATGACATTTATCTAAGTTAGGAAGTGTAGAATGAATGCTCCAGTCTTCACACTCTTGTATGTGAAGACACTATCATTCCAGCTGATACTCCAAAGAAACCGACGTATAATGTTAAACTCCAGACAAGGGTGCTGATATCCTATATTTTGCAAAAAATATTGTCATTAGTAATAAAAGACATAATGAAACGATAGATAAAACAATTCACATATTTTATATCTAGTCTCATCCAAACTCTCGTTCCTTTTACTACGACACCATATTATTTGTACATGGTATATGTCTATATGATGACCGATGAGTGTCCATTACATTGTTTAGTTTGAGTCCCACGAGGATCATCCACTTGCATCAAGACTAAGTCAATCAAATCCAAAGAGGGGTAAATATAATAAGCAACTCCTTTTCCATCGTCTAATGATCAATACCATGTCGTTTTATTAATTAGCAACAATCAATTGTCCAATGACAAAGTCAACTCATTGATTAGGGGAAGAAAAAAACAAATCACAAACTGCTCTCGTAATTAAATTTCATTTAACTCCGATCTTATCCACTAATGAAAGTACCATACTCCTTCTATGTCCTATATGTTAGACATTTAGACTCTAATTTTGTAGTTGATTATCTCATTCCTCTTAATATAAATTCTATAGGAATAAACAAAAAAAATATGTAACATTAAGTAAGTATCATTGATCATAAATTTGTTCATAACGAGCAAGTTTCACAATTCAACTAATAATCATGTATGGATTAGTCGAAATTTAAACTACAACATCATATTATAACAAAATGGTGAGCCCAAAAAATTAATTTTTATAATAAAATTATGATAAGATAAATTTTCCTATGATAAAAATCAAGTGTACATAGATGTACATTTTTCTCTTTTTTTTTTAATATTGAAATTGGAAAATTATAATTTACAGATAATTTGTTAAACAACAGTTATCACCGCCCGGATCCGTGGCGCAATGGTAGCGCGTCTGACTCCAGATCAGAAGGTTGCGTGTTCGATTCACGTCGGGTTCAAATTCCCCGATCTTAGGATCCATTTTTTTGCTCCGCAACCGGCTCATCCAACGGCCAATATCATCCCAAAACCAGGTCCACTCCTTTTCCATGCTCACCACCACAGCATAACAATTTCCCTAAAACCCCTGGCGAGCCAGAAATAGCTCGAAGAAACCCTAACCATTTCCAGTTCCTTCACAGAGCTCTCTCCCTCCCACTCTACTGATCTCTCAAATCAATCAACAATGGCGTTCTTCTCCCGCCTCCGTCTCCCGTCCCTCACCGCCGCGCACCGCAATTTCTCCACGATTCTATCAGCAGACTCCAAGGCTCCACTCTCCGCGAAAGACAAAACCCGCGCCGCTCTCTCCCTCCTCAAATCCGAGCAAAACCCGGAGAGAATCCTCGAGATCTGCCGCGCGGCCGCCCTGACTCCCGATTTCCACCTCGACCGCATCGCCTTCTCCATCGCCGTCACCAAGCTCTCCGATTCCAACCAGTTCTCCTACATCAAGCAGCTCCTCGACGAGCTCCGCCGCGACCGCCCCGACCTCCGCACCGAGAAGTTCGCCGCTCAGGCAATCGTTCTCTTCGGCCAGGCCAATATGGTCGACGATGCGATTGCCACTTTCAAGAAGCACCACGATGACGCCGGCTCTGCCGCCGGCTCCGTGAAGACGCTGAACGCCTTGCTCTTCGCCTGCACCATTGCGAAGAACTACGTCGAGTTGAAGCGGATCTTCGTCGATTTCCCTAAAATCTACTCAATCAGTCCGAATCTCGACACTTACAACACTGTAATCAAGTCGTTTACCGAGTCCGGGAGTTCGAGCTCGGTTTACTCGATCCTGCAAGAGATGAAGAATAACAGAATTTCTCCCAACGCCACTACTTTCTCCAATCTGCTGGCTGGCTTCTACAAAGAGGAGAAGTTCGAAGAGGTGGCTAAAGTTTTGGAACTGATGAAGACAGAGTATTCGATCTCCCCTGGAACTGCTACTTACAATGTTAGGATTCAGAGCTTGTGCAAGCTGAAGAGAGCTCGGGAAGCAATGGCTTTGCTCGAGAAGATGTTAAAAGAGGGCCCCAAGCCTAATTCCACTACTTTTGCTGAGTTGATTCATGGGTTTTGTAGCGCAGGGGATTTGGAGGAAGCCAAGAAGCTGTTTAAGAGCATGGTGGGCAGGGGACACCCGCCTTGTTCTGAGTGCTACTTCACTTTGATCTACTACTTGTGTGTGGGGAAGGATTTTGATGCTGCTTTGAGGTTCTCTAAGGAGAGTATGGAGAAGAACTGGGTGCCGAATTTCTCGACGATGAAGCTGTTGGTGAACGGGCTTGCGGGTGAAGGTAGAGTTGAAGAGGCAAAGGAGATTGTAGGGCAAATGAAGGAGAAGTTCTCCAAGAATGCCCATTTATGGGATGAAGTTTTAGCTGGCTTCCCGCAGTAAGGTAAACATTTCTCTGGTTTTCCGTTGACATTGAACATGAGAGGTCAGAATGGCTGAGAATTTTTATACGACAATGGTAGCTCTTGACAGTTTAGGTCAAAACAAAATAATGCAATTAGTTCGCTGCTCATTGTGATCTAGAGTGCCTTAATGGTTTTCGACTTCTCCATTGTAAGTGTGGATTAGGCGATATGAACGATGAACATTGGTACTGCCTCGGTCGATTAATCGCTCCCACTTGTTTGTGCTTCTTTCTGGAAATGGTTAGCAAGATGGTGGAAGTAGCCCTAGAAGTTCCTTCCTGATCGTGAGGCTTCGCTAGTGAGCTCAATGCATTGTGATATGGTTTGCCATAAACTACTGTAATCTATTTCTGCATTCGTTCCTCAATTCTTGGCCAGATGCTCATCTCCTCACTCTTTTGGCATCAACGTCACTTTGCAATGATAATCCCATTCGGTATCTGCATTTGCAATCCCTGTAGTATGAGCTATGAAGTTGTCACAAATACACCACACTCCCTGCACTGCATTGCACTGCAATTTTTGCCAAACATGTCCAGGCGCTATATGGTTTGTTCATCTTTGTCGCCTTGTCATCCAAATTCTGCGACCATTGGCCGACTGGCACCTACATAGTAAGCTCGTCTTTGGCAATGTTCAGGTCAAGTGTACTGACAAGTCATGCTGCCCTTGAAGTTGTGAATTGAATGTTAGATTTCGCGTTCTCTACGAGCTAAATGGGACTGTTCGTTTGGAAAGCAAGGGGGAAACAATTCGAATTCGCAGCATAGGCTATGCGCGTCGATTAGAACGCAGTAACCGGCATTGGCACCATCGTTAATAGGGGAAAACTGCACTCTCGCTTCCAGGATCCATTCACCGGGAACCTCGTACTCAAGAAAATATTCCTTTTATTCATCTTATATCTAATGACTAGTTCAAGCCCCATCGTTAATAAGGCAAAACCGCACTCTCATTTCTGGAACAAAACAACCAACAGCCATAGAACTTGAAACCCAATGGACTGAGAATTGAAAAAGCCGAGCTTAGTTCTTAACTAGGTCCTATCTTCAAAAGTTAACAAGTATGTCACCGATGTCTATTCTACCTCTCTGTAGCATGACAAAACGAATCCTTCGTGCAACTTCGTAACACTCTGCTGTACATCCAGAACGATGAGCCTCATAAGTTCTTCGCATCCCATCCTTGCTTCTCATGTTGCGATTACATCACTTGAACAACTTTAAAAACGAGAAAACAGCGCTGATTGGCTTGGCCGTTCTACTATCAAACTATGATTTCCTGGCAAGTAATGCAGATCTGTTGTTCAGGTACTTAGCTCCGTATGCTACAGTGGAGCCGACTGTTGTTGAGGCCACCAGCCAACTGTAATAATCAGTTGAGAAGTGTTAATGCCAGAATCAAATAACAACGTAAAGGAGTGTTATTCGAGAGTGAACTGTAAGAGGCAGTCAGAATTACCTCAAGTACGTTACGTATACTTGGGTTTCCACTGTTCCAAAATCCGGCTGAAGAAGAGCTGCAGCGACCAATAGCAGTTGGAAAACTGTATTCACCTGACGTATGTCCTCAACTGTCAGAAGATATCAAAGTTTTCGCACTCTGTATTTGATTAACATTAATCATGCTTTCTCAAGTTCTTGCAACAGCAAATTATCAGTGATGACATGCTGCTTTCATGAATTTCAACAGCTAGCCTTCCTAACGAGACCAGTTTGACAGAAAGAGAAGCAAAAACCCTTTTGACACAGTATCAGTTTCTAATTTCTAATTTGAACTGCACGCTTCAGTTCTACCTAATTCAACGAACTACTAGTTAACGGGTCGAAACAGTAGGAGAAGCAAGTACCTTGCTTATATATAGAGGCTCAACCTTCTCAGCACCAGATCCATTCAGGTTGACGAAATCATACCAACTATCCCACTAAAAGGAGAAACTCGATTAGGCTTAAAAACGACAATTCTGCAGACACAAAGGACACCGAGAGACGGTTAAAAGATTACCTTCCATCCCAAGCTACTAGCTCTATGATATAGAGTTGCAGCAACCAGACCACCATCTCGAAGCAAAACCAGTCCAACAAGTCCAGCTTCACGACGCAACAACCAAAGGTTCATTCACAACAACAACAACAAACCATTGGAATAAATAAGAGCACAATCGTGAAAAATCCAAAGATAAGGGCACGGTGTGCTTACGATGTAAGAGATCCATATGGACCATTGCTACGGCTACTGAACCAATGAGAACCTGTGTACAAAGACAGACATTGACACTCATAAGAGAGAAATCAGAGAACAGACAAGAGATAAAAACTGCAGAGTTTTGGCTCAAAACCTACCTTGTCAGCAAGAGGATCAAGATATGAACCCACCACCGAGTCTATGTTCATCTTCCTCGCAACATAACCATCGAGCTAGCGAAATGGTTAAACCAAAATGAAAACCAGAATTACCAATTTTGGAACACTGTCAAGCAAAGTTCTAGCAGTTTTGATTTAGGGCAAAAGTTCAAGTGCAAATTTACCCAGTCACTAGCTCCAGAGATTGCCAAACCAACAAAAGCAGCAGAATACATCTCGTTGGCAATCATCCTGCATAGCAATAAAATCAATCCACCAGAATTTCAAATCGAAAATGAACCGGAAGGCATCGAGATTCCAATTTCCCATACCATCCAAGAAAAGGGCCCGATACCAAGCGACTGATCGAGATAAAATTAGGCCAATTCACGAAGCTGTCCCAAAACCACTCCTCCGCCGCCGCGCGATTCCTTCCCGATTCCTCCTCCACGACGACGCCATAAGGCGCCGCAGCCGTGGTCACGGCGGAGGATGAGGAGCTGATCCTGATCTTAAACGAATCGAGCCGCGAATTCAACCTCTCCAGAGCCTCCGCCCTTCTTCTCCTCAGCAGCGCGAGGGCAGGACCGTTCCCGCGCAGGTGGAATGGTGTCGAGGACTGCAGCAGCTTCCACGGCGGCGAGGCGAGGAAGAGAGGGCCTCGAAGAAGAAGCGGAGCCGCGATCCATTTGGAGAGCGGGGAGAGGAAGAAGTGAGGCGGAGCAGACGGCGAGTGAGGGGAGAAGGCAAGGAGAGCGTTAGGGGAAGGGAAAGGGGAGGTTGATGCGGTGAGGAAGCTTCGGTGGTACGTTAGGGTTCCGGCGACGGCGGTTATGTTTCGCTGTTTCGACGTCAGAGCTCGTAAGGATCTGAAGATCACCATTGACGATGATGGCGCATTCTTGGGGGTCGCTGCGACTGGGCGAAGGCCGCGAGTGGTCCGAACGGTGGATTTTGCTGGGGTTTTAGGTGGGGACACGTGTAGGCTTGAGGGACGGGTCACGTGGATTAGGTCAATACTCAGCGCGTAATGGGTTTTATCGTTCTGAACTTCTGATTGGGCCTCCTAATCCAATACTGAAGGGCTGGGTTTGGCTTTTCTGGGCCAAGCGTTGTACAAGAGAAGCCACGTAATAGTCTCACAGACGGAGATCGGTCGATTCAGTCCAGAATTGAACCAAAAATAGAGGGAAAATGAGCACCACACAATTGGACAAGAATTGCATTTGGTCCGGATCAATTGCTTTCTCCCCACTTTTTTCTATACATTAAATACAATTTCATAATTTATGAAATCAAATCATATTCAATTCCATCTAAATATTGATGTAGTATGATCAATTCGCGAATCATTGCTCAGAGCTAATAATAGATTTAGATAGAAATGGAGAGGGAAATCTACGTTCAACCATCATTATATTGACATTTTAACTATGCTCGAGTCTTTTTTTATTGTAAATTCGTATCGATCCATTTTAGTGTGAGAAAGAGAATAAGGAGTGGAAAACATAAAAAAAAATTACCAAGTCCAATAATCAAAAGGACAAATGGATTATATATGAAGTCCAAAAATGAGTCATGTTGTGACGAATGTCAAACGATGACTTGATATCCACTTAAAAAGATAAAAAAAAAATATATATTGTACTAGTTCGTTAGATCAATGTCCAATACTATTGTAGCTTATTCATAATCATATGAAAATATGAGAGTTTAGAGTAATGTTTCTTATAGATACGTTTATAATTCCATTTCAACAAATGAACCTGGTCATACAAAGTAATCTCAAAGTATTTCATTCCCCCATTGAAAGCTCTCTGTGGATGCCAAATTGAAAGCTCCAATCGTTCTTCATAACCAACACTCGAGCTAACTACATAGTTTGGTACAAATGGTTACATATATTGAAACATCATCCAAGCCAATAAACTTTTGAACAAAATTTGTGCATTGCTACACTCCACAAAACCAACAAATGAACCACAACTATTCAACGTGCCACACCACATTCTAACTATAGGTATCAAAATCATCTTGCTTGAGCACCCTATACCCAAACCTCCCGGAGATCCCAACACCATCACGAGCAACATCCACGGCGGAGCACATGCCCGGACGAATCAATCCTCCGGCCACACCGCCGCCGCCGGCGGCGGCCGCTTTCTTCCTTCCCCACCGAATCCTCAAAGGCCAAAATGATCTCCCACTACTACTTCTTGAAGCCATTCTTCTGGAACGCTCGCCCTGAGCTTGAAGGCAGCTTCCACGAGGGTCCAAGTGCTCCAAGTTGGTGAAATACTCGATCTCTTTCCTCACCAGTGCGCCCACCGTGCCACGTGTCCCGATTGCCACCGGAGCCGCCGCCATTAATTTTGCCCGCCGGGAAAGTGAAAGGGAGTAAGGGAGAGAGGACGATGGATGGAGAGGAACAGTTTTGGTTTTCCAAAGGTTAAGAGAAAGTTGGAAGTGAGGTTTGGTTGGCCTCTTTAATTGAAACTGTGTTCATCATCAGTTCACTAGAAAGTGTGGGGGACTGAATGAATGAGCTGTTGCGTGATTGAAGGTTATAGAGAATAACAGGAAAATGGCATATCTGTGGCTCTTTTGCTTTTGGTGTGGCTCTCTAAATCGTTAGATGATTTTTTAGTGGGATGAAAAGATTGAATTATGGTTAAATCGACATAAAATAGTTTATCGTTAATTTTTCCGATACAATCTCCGATACGCTTCTATAATCTTGCTGCTTTGTGTTCTTTGTGTTAAAGCATTGAGAGCCCATATCGCTGCCATCATTTGTCGGCGTGAATCAGAAGCATGCACAGACGTTGTTGTGGGGGCAGGCAGAGAGGGCCACTTGTGGCCTTAATCATCTTTCTGGATTAACTACGTACATATAATAATTGCTGCTGCAGCAATAAGTATTAACTATGAATGTAGTGATCACAATTGGCGATTCCCATTCAAACAGATCAGGCTCAAACCAACGTGTTATGATGCGATATGATATCTGGCACTCAACTTACGGTAAAAATTGAATTTGATAACAATCCTTATTAGGATTGTCATCGTGATGACTTCTATTTTGACGCTAGTAATTGTCACCTTATTTTGCTGAGAATTTTTTCTCTATTACAAGGAACCAAATTATGCGAGTCTCTGTTAACATCAATGGCTCTAATAATGGCTCTAATAATTCTGTCCTCCATGTTAAAATGTCATATGATGAAACCACCCCACCAAACATTGGACTTCTTTTTCTCAAGTCGCGTCTCCTTTTTTACCCTTTTCTGCTTTTGTTCGGTTTTTTTTTCTTTTGTCAATGTCAAACCATCCACATTTTGCCTTTGCCTTCTTTAATCAAAGGTTTAGTACGATTTTGAGTTGTTAATGTAGATCATAAAAATGGGGGAACCAAGTTCTCTCTAACAGCAAGTTCTTCAGTTCAAAAAATATTATTCATCGTTTTGTCTGGTGGTTCTGTCCCTCACCTATAGAGAGTGCAACTGTAGCAAGTAGCAACCATCCTATAACCTGATTTCTGAACCCTAATTGGTTCTGATTCTCAATGCAACATCGTACACAACTAGGTTCCTTTTACCCAGAAATCCTCTCCCTCTCAAGCATAACTATTATCTAACTAACAAAGATGACAACACTATAAGAAGTGAAGGTGGAAAAAGAATGCTTGATATATTTTCTATTTACTCATTTTCATCTAATGTATATCAGCAGTACACTAAATTACAGAAAATGCTGAAACTCCCCTCTAAAGTCTTAATAATAGCCTCAGAAAATTGAGTGTTCTTTTAACTCTTCCTTAATTAATATTATTCCATACAACACTATGAGCTAACCTAAATTTCCTTATTCCACTCCCTTCACTCTTTGAGTTTCATACCCTTTTCTCTTCTTTTGCTTGTCACCCTCCTAGTACTAATGAGTAGCGCCTGTGAGCAAGATTTTATCAGGGTTCTATCACGGTTCTTGGATCGTGAACCTCACTAGTTCGATCTCTAATACTACAATCATTTCACGATTTGCGCGTATTATCGATCACTGTCAATGTATACCGGGGAGATGGCAAGAATACCTGAGTCGACGATGGCTGGCCAGAGCGGTTCTTAGAGCCACATCGACGCTCATTCCTTCTCGGAACAACAAATCGTACAGCTGGCTGAGAAACTGAGATAGCCTGTCCTCGTCGTCGTCCCAGAAACCCATCGAATTAGCGCTGCAGCCTCTATCCGCATCGCTGTCCCAGTCGCTGGCTGCAGGACTGGGAGGCTCCACTTCCTCGCTCTCGGCTTCCTCGTCCTCTCCAATCTCGAACTTCCCGTTCTCCAGCGAGTTGAGGTCACCTGCCGAGCCACTGACAGCAGTTACCGGGATGTCCATGGGGTCAGCAGATGGACACACGACGGCTTTTGCACCGGAGTCCAAGAAGGCTTTGTTTAGTGTCTGGGATGGGCCGTATGTACCCGTGCAAATGATGATCCTGTCTCTCCAAGCTCCAGCCTACGGGGGAAAAGGTTTACCAGATAAGAACTTTCCAACATTAAGGACTTGTATAAAGTTGTCAAATGAAGCAGCAAACTGAATAAAATGTGTGAAAGCTATACCATCCATCGAACATCTTCAGGGGTTAAATGCATGGAAGGAACTGTTCTTCTGAACATATATGCCGCGATTTCTTGGTCGTCTTCCATAACCTTCAGAACAGGAAGACCAAAGGATTTAGCAACCACTACGTAAAGGATTTCTTGCCTTGGTCCTTTCAAGCCGAGCACTATAGTCTGACAATACATATATTTTAGAAGTAGAAATCTTACGTCTAGAACACATGCATACATGGTGATCTAAGTCCCTCTAATTTATATAATTCCTTCATTTTAAGTAAAAATTCTCGAAAGAAACACTTGATTAGAATCATGGTTCCAAAGCCACGCCTAAAACTGACATCAACCAGGCAAATAAAACAGGACATAAAACAATCAACGCATACCTGTGTCTGCCGTCCTATATAGCGGTGGACAACGTTTCCGACTTGGAAGTAAGGTCTGCAACGAACCAGATCAGCAACTGTCGAAATCTTGGAAAGAAACGATGTAACCTGCCGTCGATGACACTTCATCATTGACAATAAACTAAGCTTAACACTCTGTAGAAACTTCTCAGCGAGCTCTCCAGGTTCAGCAACAACAAACACGTCATTCTGCCAACTAAGAGGAACAACAAGCAGTTGAGCAAAATTGTTTTCGAAGAAGCAATGCTATTAAAATCCAGCATTAGATATTAAATCTTTTTTATTTTAAAGTCATGGAGATAAACTTTGTTGGGTCTTGATAGAGTGTATTGACTTAGTCTCTAACCACTCTGTATTCAGTTCCTTATTTCCAGCTACTTAGTTAGCCACAACTCCTTAGGAGTAGGCAGACTGTTTCTGTACGTTGCTGTATATATTCTCCATATCAATAATACATTCAATGGGTTTTGGCATTGTATTTACAGGTCTTACTATATTTTTTAATTACTATTGAACGCATGATTATTCTTCCAAGACATCATGTTTGACTAAGAAGCAGAGGACAGGGTGAATATGCGTACCTTAGGATGGAGCCAGAAGAATCATTCTGAAGGGCTAAATGCACGATCCCAACTTGGGGTGCATTCTGCAGCATTTCGTGCAACGATCTCACAGGCAAAGAAAACGGTTTCCGTGCTTTAGGAGAAATTGGTGGCGACGCTCCTGCCCTCACTGACGTATTCCCATCCAAGCTCAAAGGTGGGACCATCTCAATTCGGCCAACTCGGTGTGAGCCGAAGTCGGGACTGTACAAAAGTGGGCTCGATGGAAAGCTTCCGGTGATCAGAGGTGAGGCAAACGGTGATGCCACAGCTGGCGGTACACTTTTCGAACTTCCTGATGCACTGTGAACATGAGAAACTCGTATGCTATTACGAGCGCAGAATGTCTCAAGCGCCCGGGCATGGTGCATGACTCTTCCAGAATCGGGGCTGTGGAGAGCTTCGACGAGTAGTACGTTACGCCTCCAACCCAAAGTGGGGCCACTCCCACCTGAGATTAGCAGAAAGATATGCAACATTTTAGGTTGAAGATTAGAGATAAACCGAAGATGATGAGGTGAATTATTTGCACCATTACCAGTACTGAACGTCTTTGCTCTAGGACGATGCTGCTGAGTTTTCATATCTGAGAACTTATCGTCGCTTTGCAATGGCAAAACGAGTCTCTCACATATGTTCTTCAAAGCTTCGGAGCTCTCGAGAATGTATTGTTCAACTGAAGCTTCCAACTTTAGCCACACAGCTGGGTCAGTTTCGTCAAGCTCCATATCACAGCGTTCATCAACTGTGAAAGGTTGAAATCACACAGAATAGCAAGAACTCGAAGGTTAAAACATTATGGGACAGTAAGAACAAGAAGCGCTTCAATAAAGCTGGCATGTAACTGTAGTTTCGTAAACAAAAGAGGAATATTCAACAACTCTGCATATCACAGGCCATATTTTTTCCACAAACGTATACACCGTACCATAATTATAAATATTGTACCCTGAGGAAACACAGTCAGCACTTACCTGGATTGAAACGAAAATATTGAATCTCAGGAAGCATTGGGAGTAACGTACTTAAGGCTTCCTCCACTCGGTCCACAGAGCACGCACTTTCAATGAGCACCTGCCCAGTGTCAAGATAGCGCCAACCACCTTTCCGAGGCTACCATAAAGGAGATTTTTTCACAATCAAGATTCAAGAGAACAAACAAGGTCAGGGAACAGAAACTTAACTAACACTCTTGTATTTTCACCCAAAAAAACTTAACCTTATTGATATTTTACTAGGAAGGAATAACAGATAAGACTCTAAAGGCACTAACAATTTGCAGTAAGAAAGCCAGATTTGTTGTGAGGCTCACCTTTGTTGGAACAGAACCACACCCAACTGAGACGAGGCAGTCAATTCTAGCGTCGGGCCAAAGAAGCTGTGCTTCTCTGATGGCAAAGATGGTAGGATTATTGGCCACAATAGCACCATCTTGCCACCGGTTTATGTCTGTGGAAGTACGTAGGTTAGAACTTTTATAACTCTCAGGAATAGAAGAATAATATTTACTGATTAGATTTATCAAGCAGATTACCATCAGAATAGTCATCGAGATAATATGGAGCAGCAGATGATGCTCTTATTGCTTGCCAAACGTGGTGTTTACAACTTCCAATAGAAGCAGTGCGTTTGTATCCAATTTGGCTACCAGCAAAAGGACATCCTAATACAGTGACCCCTGATCCCTCAGTAGGAGTGGATGGCACTTCTGGTGTTCCAACAGGGTACTAAATGGTGACACAGAAATGTCAGATGACAGACGAGCATAAAAGAAAATTTTGAGGTGTGTTTATTTCGTCTAATATTAAGTTCCTAAAGTTTAAGTTGTAAAAAAGCTAAAAACACATAATTTTTTATTATTAAAAACTATCTTATAGCCATCTAACTTCTCTAAAACCATACCAAACACACTTTTTCTAAAATGAAAAATTGTAAGTTGCCAAACTTTAGGAAAAGCTAAAACAAACACACCCTAATAAGTATCAGCTAGGCAATTTATACATCACAAAGACAATAAGCACATTTCCAGGTTTTAGCAGATACCACTAGCAAGAAACCAAACCTGATAGTTGCGAAATATAAATGGTTGAGCTGGCATCATGCTAACCAAAGTTGAAACTGCAAAAACTTTTGGAATGCCTTTCACTGCAGAGTCTATCAGTAGATCGCCGTCGTCGTCATCACACATTTCCTTTAACAGCCTCTCAAACTCATCTGCGCTATGCTGCAAGACAGTAGGTTATAGCAACCACTACGTAAAGGTTCACAAGCACTATATTAGAATCAGCAATCGTGTTCATCCAGCTTATATCATGATCATTCAAACATAAATAGTACTTTCTCTTCCTTGTAACAAGAACTTTAAGCATGAGCTCCCTCTCAGGGCCATCATATCAACCTTAAATTCAATTCTTATTGACGACAGAGAATAGATCTTGCTACTAGTGGAGATTGTGGGGGCAACATAACTCAATATATCAAAACTATAGACGGAAGTATGCGGGGGAAAGTAAAAACCATACTTTGGATCCATGGACGACAACTCTAAAGCTCTGTGATGAACTTTTGTAAAGCTGATCTAACTTTTCCCTCCATGATGCAGCTTCATTATCCTTGGGAACAGGTTCAGCAAACACAAGTTTCCCTAAAGAAGAAAGTTATGAAGTTAACTAATAAGTAACCAACAAAAATTAATGGAAAAATAATAGCCAGACACAATATACACACCAAGATTTTTGTATATCTCCTCGCATTCATCCAGGGTCATTTGCTTTATACCAAGAGCAACAGCCAACATTCCACCAGTTGATGTGCCACATATAAGATCGAATAACTCGTGTATGCGCTTTCCAGATCCCTTCTCGATTGCCTTGAGAATCTGCACAGTGGCCAGACCTTTCATTCCACCCCCATCCATTGATAGAATACGCAGCCCTTGCTTAGCCACAGGTCTTGCCTTTATAGCACGCCTCAAGTTTTCATTCTCTCCTGCAGGCAAAGACATTTCCATTTGAGTTTTAAAATACACTCAGCAACTAAAAGCATTGCTAAAAGTCAAGCTAAGGAAGCAAACCAAGAATCGCCAAAGCACGAGCAGCAGCTTTGTTCACACGAGGCTCAGATGTAACTGTCAACCGCAGCAGCAGGTCCCGTAGACTTTCGGAGGTAACCAAAATACGCCTATTCTCCCAGCAGAACGCCATATTACCAACCACGAACAAAGCTAGCCTTTGCACCTGGCGCCAAATAAAGAGGAAACAAAATAAAAATGGGCAGAAAAAGGTAAAAGATCCAAGAACCAGATAACCCATTATACCAAATCAAACATGCCTCTGGGTTTCTGTGGCCACACAGAACTTTCAATGATTTCAATAAATCCTTGGTTAACATCTTCTGGGATACTCTGTCTGATGCAAAAGCCAATGTTGACATAACTTGCAGGACTGAAATTACTTCTTCTTGGGAGACAGATCTTAGCACTGTTTCAATGGGCTGCATGATGTCACATTTGATCAACTGCATTGCCATAGAAATTTCTCCAGCAAGAGAAGAGAGGGCAGAACATGCTTGCTCAACCTGCAACAGATGAAAACTTTAAGAAGAGTACACCAAACAGAAATGAAGATATTTTAAAACAAAACTTCTAAGGAAACGTGCTCCAGCATACCACGTGACGATCGTCGCTGCTAATCATACTAATGAGCTGTCGCACTGCATTCTCATCTTTGCCAATAACTGCACGATTACCTTGGTCTTGCACTATTTTTGCCAGTGCAGAAGCCAGAAGAGCGTGATGGCATGAGGAGAAGCGGAATATAAGAGAGAAGAAAGCACTCAGCTTGTGTCTGGATGCTCCAAAATAAGAACTGCTCTCCCCCTGCATAACCAAATAATAGAGTGTGAAAATAGAGGAAATTAAAAGTTATTTCAAATAATTTTACTGATAAACTGCAAAAACCACAACCTCTATCTGCACAGTGACAGATCTTAAATTTTCATCAGCAACAATCCTGATATTTGCAAGGGTCAAGTGGCGAAGTTTGTGCAGCGGTAAAATTTCTGGGAGAAATTCGAGAGGGTTCCCAAATAGCCTAAGAATCTGCAACTCAGCCATCGCCCTGCCATTCAACAGGAGATAAGCATTATGCCCAAAGAAAAAGTCTTGCTAGAATCTGGAACCTTAAGTTAACAAAAAGAAGAGTTGGTTCATTCAGGTGACCTGAAATCAAGAAGTGGACGAATAAGCTTGTTATGTTCCAGTGACAACTCTACCAGTTGAACACACTGCCTCAGCTCCACTGTTTAGAGTTCAAGCAAACTTAGACAGCAGTTCAAGGTAATCAAAGAGCTTAATAGTAATACGATTTCATATCACAAGAACAAGCTAAGCATTAGTATGCAATTCAATTCTTACCAGGAACAGAAACCAACAAGTTGTAATCAACACTGAGAACTTTCAAAGTTTTCACCTCGCCAAGCTCAGGTGGCAAAACTGTAAGCCTATTGTTGTCTAGAAAAAGCTTCTCAAGAGTTGGTAATTGCAGTAGTTCAGCTGGCAATGTCTGCGAACAAAATTCGCTTCATTTCAGTCATTTGAGCTCTCACTGACAAAAGGCATAAGGAAACCATTCACAAAGGAACCAAAAGAAATCAAAATCCAAGATAGAACAGTTCTGAATCCTTTTTTTCAATGGAGGGGAAAATGAAAAGAGTTCGCACCGCCAAACCACAACCGCAGAGGCTAAGCAATGTGACGGTCTTCCAATGATCGGCACAGGCGATATCCGAACCATCCCCAAGTCCACTAGAAGCTAAATTGGACCTCAACAATCTCGTCAAAACGCCGGCGCCATCGCTCTGCTGGCCGGAACCGGACTTCGACACCGTGATCCCTCGCAACGGCTCCCTCCTCTTCACAACGTTCATCTCCACTCCGACGACATTGCCTGCCTCCACCCCTCCCTCCCCATTCCCATCTTCTTTCGTCGTCAAATCCAACGTCACGCAGTCCTGCGGCATCGGCAACGCCACCATCAGCTGCGACTGCAGCCTCAGCGCCAACTGATCCTCGTCGTCTCCGGCCGTCCAATCCAAATCCACGCGGAATCCACCGTCTTGGTCCATCGGCGGCGGAATCGCCGAAGAAGACGACGAAGACGAGGAGGAGCTCGACGTACGGGTAGGATCTTCCCAGGATTCCTCCGTGCCGTAGTTTAGACTCAAACGGAAGATCTCCGACGGCCGCTTCCATCCTAATCCCCAAGACATTGCGCCAGGAACCTCTGAGAACTTCGGCCGCACCTTCCCGATCTGATCAGAGCGGTTACCGGCTCAACAATTCATGATCCCGCCGGAGAAAACGTTCGGTGTGCCGCCAATTGTTTTTGGCGGAGAGGATTCCTCTCTGCCTATATCGTTATGGCATTAGAATGAATTAGGGATTAGGGTTTGGAGGTCGAGATTCGGATTAATGGCGGGAGTCCGCCGCAGAGTGAGGAATGAGGGAAATGGAGAAAATTCCTATCAATTGTGTTCTTTCTTTCGTTCGTCGTCTTTCTTTCGCGTTGATTTGTTCTTTGGTTTCAAAGCTTCGTCGTCGGACGGTCTCTCCAGTTCACTTATGTTTCAAGACTGCTTTTTAAAGTCCACGCTCCGACGTCGTTTTAGTTGCTTCCCTTCGTTTTCTCCAACGTTCTAAACATTACAAGACGGCAACCATTGATTTAGATTGAATATTATTATAAATTTGAAGAAAATGAGAGTGCTAAAATCAAATCAGATTTAACTAAATTTAATTTTGCTAGTTCTCATTTTAGTTTTAATTCGATCTATTTATTTTCTTAATTACATAAAAAAAATTGGTAGTATTTGAGAATATTAATCAATTTATATATTCATGTGATCCACACATTTGTCAACTGGTCTATCATATTCTATTTATGATTGGCTTGGAAGGTCCTTGCTCAAAGAATGTTTTTTTAGATAAGAGTGATATAGATTTTACATTTTGCGATTAGGTACTATTTAAACAATTCGAACCTAAGACCTTCAAATTTAAGACTAGGCCCTTGCTCAATGAATGTTGTCGAACTGGTCTCAGCTCCTATTTCTGCAGGTTATCGTAAGCTAGAATTTTTTAATTGTATATAGGTGAAATTGGCACCCTAATCTCATCAAATTGAAAGAAGTATTTTAAGAACCTATTTTGGATCGTATAGGGTTTTTTGAAAGAAAATAAATAATAACAAAAAGACTGTAATCAACCATATAAATATGATTTCTATGCAGTCTTCCAATAAGCTTAAAGCTAGCAGTTTAGACAATAGATTTCAGCAGTTCTAAAGTTCCATAGATTCAACAGTAAATACTCTAACGTTCTTCGACAGCCGTAAAATAACGAATGCACCAGAAGAATCATAGCTCAAGCTTCCCAGCAGCAGAGCTAAAGATCTCCTTCAACTCCTGCTTCACGCCACCATCAGCAAATATGAACTCCACGCTGTCTCTAGCTAGCTGGAACAACTCCTTCCTTCCAAGACCTTTCCATAAATTAAACAAAAACAAAACACAGCTCGGCTCAGGATTTCAGACATTACATTTCAGGTTACATGTATCATCAAAATGCCACCACGGGTGGTGAAAATCCTTATGTACCCACCAAATGCAGATGAGGCAAGGCTATACTCCTTGGACAGACTGGTGGAGAAAACCCCTGAATCGTCTGTGCACAGCACCATTGGATGTTTCGCAAGGTACAAATCAACTACATCAAGAGCAGGTGAGAGAGCATGTTAAGGATATTGATGCATAAACGTGTTCGATTACGATGATGACAACTTTTAAGCATTCAACTTGTTCATGAGAGAGAGTGTGAAGAGAGTGACCAAAATGGTGAATGTCAAGTGAAGAGATTGTGTCTGTCATGATGTTGGATGTCAAACAAATCTCAACCTGCAAAAGTTAAAGGAGTTATAATGTTAGAGAGCTAAGTCAAGGGAATCATTCAGAAGACTCACCTAATTAGAAGTGTTCAAATAATGTAAGATAAAAACCAAGTAATAACTAAGGCTATTGCAATCAAGGAACGAGAGTTATCATAGATACGTAACTGGTATTTTAGATGATTTTAGTTTCACCCAATCTGGCTCTCTTAAGAAGCAAGCATGACCAATTCTCTGAGGCAGAAAGTCCAACATTGCGTTGATCTCCTCATAATTAGGTACCTACAAGCACTAAGTCACAAAAGCAACCCAGTAAGGGCAAATCTCAAAACACCGGTAGATCAAGCATAACAAGACATAAACTCATTCAGACAAGCTGATAGGAATCAGAAGCGGAAAGCACCTCTCCACAGTGAAGCGTAACATATAGCCCTTGCTCCCGGGCAAATTGTAGTGCAGCCAAGTATGTACTCCTGCCTCACATTCAACAGTTTGGGATCATAAAGAACTGGTTGCCTTCACATATTCTTGAATTCATAAACTAAAAGGTTTATGAAAGAAAGTAACCATACCATTCACCCACAGAAGGGTTGCCAGAAAGGTCAATGCCAACAACACCTAAACCTCTCATTTCCAGTGCAAGCTTCACCTATTCCAAATAAAGAAAGGAACTTTTAGCCTTTTACTTCCCAGTCTAAAAAGAAAGTCATGAAGAAGCATACTGTTTCCATTGCAGCTTCAGCTGTCTCTCGACGGTCGATGCTGAGAAGAAGTCTGACGTAGATCTTCTTCCTACCACTTCCCTGATGATCCACATTGTTCACAGCAATGGAATTCCAGGAACTTGCAGGGTCATGATGATCAGTACTATGAGGGGTGAAATCTATGTCTACTTCAGTAACAGAACTCAGACCATTTATCACAGCTTCCATGTATGACCGTTTGCTCATCCCTATAGAATCATTCCTCTGTAATAAAACAAGAATACCCAACAAATAGCACAGTGACTTTAGGCAAACCCAGTTCACAAACAAGACTGAACCATAATCCCACAAGAGCCCCTTTTATCCCTCCAAAAGTTATTACCTTTGGGGTTGTCCTCAACTCCAAATACACAACATTTTCAGAAGCAAAATCTTCAATCACCTGCATCCAATGAAGAATCAAACATCAGTTCTCAAGAAGAATGGGTGAATCAAGCATCAACATCCAACTAGTAAATCAAGTTTTGTCTTACTTCTTTGGTAATCCTTGTGACAGTTTTGTGGTCAGTCGTGAGGACGTGAATCAAGTCAAACAGCTTGAATACCTCGCGGCAAGACCTGTCACCTGAAAGCAAAAGGAATCCTTTCTTCTGAATCCATTCACAAAGATTATAAATGCTGAGTGTTGAAGACAACTCAGTAACTTACCTTTCAGGATAACATGCTCTACATCTGAGAACGCAATCCGGCCCTTCTCCCCCAAACGTCTGGCGAGTTCCCTGCAAAGCCATGCAATAAAAACAAACAAACGAAGCCCAGGGTATCATAACAAAGCAACAGAAAAGAGGGAATTGAAGCTCGGAAAAGGGAGGGAAAAAGCGAACAGGAGAGTGGAGTCTCGGACGGAGCCATTGAGATGGGCATGGAGTTCGACTTTAGGGACGGTGACCCACCACCGCCTTTCCACTTCTGCTTCAGATGATGTCAAAATCTTCTGGGTTTCCATTTCTTTGAAGGGGAAGAGACGGCAATCACTCGCAGCTCTCCAGAAGAAATCTTTGGTCCCTTTTCACTAGTTCTTCACGGGTTCGAAGATGGAATCGGAAATTCAACGCCTCTGCCTTTTTGGTCTCTCCTTTTTCCGCTTGATTAGACTCTCTTACTAGCTCGAAGCGACTTTTCTTCCAACTGCTGCGGTCATCAAATCAATCACTCACTCATTCACTCAATCTACTACTACTGGCTATCGGCCCTCTTTGTCGGGTTGAGGAGAAACCTGATAGACCTTTGTTCTTCGCCTGTCTTCTTTCATCATTGGTTCAATCTTTTATCTAGTCCAATTACTTATCCGGTCACTATACTTTGAGATCATTGACAACCCAGTTACTGAACTTCAGTTTTTGACAGATTCGTAACTTGAGTTTGTTTCCAATCCTATTGCAAACTGGACTCAACGACTGATGTACCGGTCCACGTTGATTAGAAAACAATCAACGATTAGCGGGCCGCGTATCCGTCGGCCCATGTCAGATAAAGCTGGGCCATAATGACCAAATGAGAAATACAGTCCCCGGTTTAATCCCCAATTAAGTTGGGCTTTGGGCTGGATTTTCTGTGTTCTTACCCGGAGTTCCAACTCGGTAGTGTGAAAATACTTCAGGGCTCGTCTAAGTCGTGGATTAAAAATAAAGGTTTTGGTATAACTTGGGTTTTGAAAAACCATTGATATATGAGGGTATTGGGTTCATTATTGATTTGATAAACACCATTGTTTGATGGATTTTATGATGGATTTTGTTGATTAAATTTGTATGTATGAAGTGTAATTTACTTTTATTGTCTTTAATGATATAAGAAGAGAAAGCAAATATGAAGGGTATGTTGGTAAAAAATGATGGACTTCAAAGTCCATAATCAATTCCCACCTAAATAGGTGGAACTTTCCAGTCCGTGGGGTCCACAGATTTGATCCCTTAAAGTTCGTGGGACCCACGGATTTGTTTCCCCTAAATGCATGAAGCAAACAATGGATTTTGGACAAAGTCCATGATGGATCCAAATTCCTCCCCAAATCCATCAAGCAAACAAGTCCAGTGGATTTGATAATGCACATTTTGATCAAACGGAATGAAATGTCTCTTATGGTCGGCTTTCCTTCCATTTGAAATATGATTTATATCGATTTTCGATTTGATTTATACAAAATTGATTCATGTTCATACGTCGATTTGCAATGCAAATGAACTACAAGTCAAAACTTTCTATTTACAAATCTCCAATTGTATCTTGTCTCCGATTATTTTTTACATAATTTTGTCTCGCCCATGTCTGTTTTTTCTTATCAGAACATGCACTCTACTACCCCGGCATATTACTGGAAACTAAACAAAACTCCGAACAGAAAAATCATTCAGATCGAGAAAACTCATATACACGAGCTATCACTGTGAATCGACTTAATCCACATCTTGAGTGTCAATCCACATTACGTTGATGGTTGATCACTCTCAGGATGATAAACTTCTCACCAAATTGCTTGATGTTGCTATGATTTGAAGTCGAATAATCTGTAGTCGATGGTAACCTTTTCCTTTCCAGGTTGGATTAGGGTTAAGGCTTTTGGGACACGGTGCAATATAGTGTATATACTTTCTCAATCCCTCTCTAATATGTATTTCTCAAATATAGTAAAACTGGTCTTTCTTTCTCTCGATGGATTAGTACATATCGTATTAACGAACCACGTAAATCTTTGTGTTATTTACCTTACATTGTCGACTTCCCTGTATTCTAACACTTCATTACTCTAAGTCTAAACTCTCTACTCTCTTTCACAACAAATTAGCTTATCATGAGTACTGTTTTATATAATATTTCTAACTCTACTGTGAGATTGAAGAGACTTCACCTGTAGTCTATCTAGACCTAGCTGCTGCTAGCCGTACCCCTTCAGAAAAATTTACCACCTATCATAATACATCGCACCTACTACTTTGTACCAAGCTTGCATTATATCTGACAAAAACTATCTTCCTTTCAGTAACCAGACCATAGACTCGTCTTCTACAACCAGTTGGTCATTAATGTACTGCTCCCCATTCTCCCAGTCCTCGATCAGGGTTGCAAGAGGGTCCATGATTATTGATTGTTGGGTTTTGATCTAAAGACAGAGGATGTACGAACGATGTCACTTATCTCAAGAATCTCGAATTGTAATAGAGCCGTGAATACGAGTATTATCAGTTCACATGATGCATATCTTACTTATTGTTGGTGCATTAGGTAGGGTATTTAATGTCAATCATAGTGACTAAATAAGTAAATACTCGTCATGATGGATAATCAAACAAAATAGATAATGATTGTAAGAGTGTGAAACAGTTCAGTCCGGATCAAACTTATTAGAACCGCGGTTTAATAGCGAAAGAAATTTTAAAATCATGGATTATAATATATTGCATTCGATTCGACTTGATCAGGTATAAATATCGGTCCATTTTTTCCAATATTGATAAACATAGGGCCAAGAACAGAACTGTATTATATTCGATTTGGTAATAAGGATCCGATCCAAACTTCCATTTAATTTGATGCAATCTGGTACGAGACAAACGGTTTTACACTCCCAAACGGCTGGCCACGGACTAATCTCTATATGACTATAGCTACCGGTATAATGGCTGACCATGTGTGCTCCATGTCTTGCTGCTGTTCAACCTTTGCCCAGTTTGGTCAGGATCCTGGCTGGACCCTATATATTTCTTTGGGTTTTCTTTCCATTTTTATCGAGTTATTACCTGCTTAAATAATTCATTTACAGGAGGGTAAGCTTCGTGGGTTGGCTGCAAAAGACTAAACAACATAGGAATTTATGGCTACTCATGTGGCAAAATCATCAGGACGACCCATGTCTACCATATGCAAATCCCAGGAATTTAATGTAACATGGATCATTGTAGGTATATATGTGGCAAAATCAGGACGACCCATGTCTACCAATACTTGTCTCTATAAATATATGCAAGCAAATTAATGGTAGTTGAAAAATGGTTTTGCATTAGAATTTGATAAAATCTTATGTATTGATGTTGATGAGTTGATCAGCAGTAGAAGTGAAGGTTTGTACTTCGGATAATAATATTTGTTCTAAAAGAGGATTCTTCTACGAGAAGTAAAATCACACTTAGTCGAATCGCATAAAAATCGTGTGCTCGTGTTTGTTTCTTAATTTGACATGTGAGAGTGATATTACTTTGGTAGGTGTGTCTCTAACTAGAGATACTGAAACCGAACCAACCGCGTTAGTTAGTACAAACAGAACCGAAGAGTCCAATTCATTACTAGGATACATATGTAGATCTAAGCGGATGGATATTATAAGAAGTGATGTTTGGAAGCTCCACGATTGTTGGATGGATGAAGTGATGTTCCATTTACAAAATTATCACAATATTCATTCAATGATCATGGAAAATTCAACACGCAATCTGCAATCTCACATTGCTGTGAACACGTCCTCACAAAGAAAAGACGTGAGACGTTCATACCAAGCTCGGGGAGCTTGTTTGAGGCCATACAACGCTTTTCTAAGCTTGTAAACATGGTCCGGGAAGTTAGGATCAACAAAACCGGGCGGTTGTGATACATAGACTTCTTCCTGAATCACACCGTTCAGAAACGCACTTTTAACATCCATTTGGAATAACGGGAAATTTTTAAAACACGCAAAAGCACATAATAAACGTATAGACTCAAGACGGGCGACTGGAGCAAAAGTCTCGTCATAGTCAACCCCTTCTTCCTGAGAATACCCTTGGGCAACAAGGCGAGCCTTGTTTCTAGTAATAAACCCTTCCTCATCAGATTTATTGCGGAAAATCCATTTTGTACCAATAATAGATTGATTCAATGGGCGAGGGACCAGATCCCACACATGTAAGTACTCAAATTGGTTCATTTCCTCATGCATGGCAAGATTCCAGTATTCATCTTTTAAAGCCTCTTTATAATTTTTTGGTTCATGCTGAGATACAAACGCGTACTGACCTGGTGTGTACTTACCTCGGGTACGCAGCCCTTCGTTCAGTTCACCGATGACTTGATCAACTGGGTGGCGTCGCTGAATATGCAAGGGAGCAGCAGGGGCCGAAGCAAGAGGAAGGAGTCTTCTTCTTCTTTAGAAAACGTAATGGGCCTATATGATCAAAGCCCACCACGCATAGGAAGAAGGTCTACCGAGAAGGAAATCAAATTAAACAGAAATGATTTGGGCTAGATATCAGTTGAGCCCACCAAAGCCTTAGTCTGTTAAGCTGATCTCTTCTTCCTCTTAGGACAGAGTCCTTAGCGACAGAGATTTGCAGAGAACAGAGTAAGGTAAGCTGAAGCACGCAAAGGTAAAACGAGAGTAGACGAAGAACACAAGGATTTTAACGAGGTTCCCCAATCTACGGGTACGTCCTCGTCCCGGAGATAGCACCTGCTATACTCCGAGAGACTCTCTTTTTATTGAAGTTTTTCCTATCAAAAGAATAACGAAATTACAAGACACAAACTGAACAAGAAGACCCGAATCCAATCCCAGATTCGAAACCCACCAGCAACTGATTCCTATACCACCAGTTGCCAAAACCCTTAGACCTTCCAATAGACCTGTACCACTATATGTCTAAGTGCCCAACAGAGAGGGAAAAAGGCGGATATATAAAGGGACACAAGATAGTCGTTGAAATCAAAACAAGGAAGGTGCTTTTCAAGCTTTCCATCTTTGATCCCTTTGATTTCTCAACGGTCAGCGGCAATCAATCTTCAAGTTCAGCAGTGCTACTGTCAACACAAACTTAACTAAATATCTAGATTTTTGTTAATTATAAGTTTCGACTAGCCTATCTACACCATGACTATGCATGAAAGCATTTAGTTCGAATATTAATTTTGGGTTGTTGGAATAGGCTCAAATAGTAATACAAGCGTTATATAATTTTCTATTTTTCTTATACAATCACAAGTATAATATACAGAAACAAATTGTTCACAAGTCTTTTTTTTTTCAGTTCGACTCACCGGTCCGCACCAATTAGAATACTTTGTATGAAAAATTGACACTGATATAAACATGGTACTGTTCATTTTGCTTATAAACATTTATCATTACCTGAACAATGTCTTTTGTCATAATAAGAAAATATTGTTTTGTCTAAAAAATTAAAAATAACAAGATGCACAAACACTCTCTTTCCCAAAAGGTACATAAAAAAAGAGACGATAGAAGAACCGAAAAACATTATACTTTGTCATACCAAAAAGCCAAGTCGAACGTACATTTAATAACCATACAGATATACACTACTTCACTACTTAAAAGAGAAAAGACAAGGTTAATCACCCACAGCATACCATAATGCTAAATTGCTAATTAATTAAGTCACTCCACCCTGACAAATTATTAGGACAAAGTACACATTTCACTGAAGCTGGGTTTTTTTTAATACTCTCGAAATCAACGACTTATGCCCTAGCACTTCCTTGTCAATTGTTGCCCTCTTGCAGAGTTGCAGTAGCTAGCTCTTATTAATTGGAATGCGTATGACAAAAGGTTTAGTTTCAATCACAAACTTAAACAAAATATCTAGCTAGATTAATGATGTTTAGTATAAGTTAATTTCCACTAGCCTATCTAAACTACCATAACCATGCATAAAAGCATCTAGTTCCGATATTAATTTTGAGTTGTTGGAATAGGCTCAAATACAAATATTATATAATTGTATTATACAACTCACAAATATAAACATTATTTATCATCACCTGAACAATAATTTTTCCCCTAACAAGAAAATATTTTTCTATCTATCAAACAATGATTGCACAAATACACGAGAAGATACATCACAAATAAGAGGACAATAGAAGGGGGGAAAAAGCATAGAAACATCATATTTTGCCATACCAAAGAGGCAAGTCGAACATCGAAAACCCATACACTAAAGAGAAAAGCAACGTTAATAGCCGAGTAATTAAGACAAAGTAGACATCTCCATTGAAGCTGCCGAAATCATCAGTCCGACGTCTACGTCTTTACCGGGGCAATATCACAGCCTTCAAAGGATTCTTCATCACCACCGTGAAAGCAAACGTCTCCGTCGGGTCGGGCGGCGAAGTCGGGTCGGGCAGCCACCTGAACCCATGAACCATCCTCGCCAACAACAACTTCACGTGGAGCACCCCCAAGCTCCACGCTGGACAGATCCTCCTCCCGGCCCCGAACGGCATCATCTTCAGCACGCCACGCGTCCCCGTCAAGTCCACGTCAGCTCCGTCCCCTCCTTCCAGGAACCTCTCGGGCCGAAACTCCCCGGGTTCCTTCCACATCGCCGGATCCTCCGTCACCCACGCCGTGTAGAACTCCACGTGGACGCCGGCCGGCACCCCGTACCCTCCCAGCTCCACCGCCGCCCCCTCCGCCGCCACCGCGTGCGACAGCAGGAAGTGGCTCGGCGGGTGCCGCCGGAAAGTCTCCTTCACCACCGCCGTCAGGTACGGCATCTCCTCCACGTCGTCCTCGTTGACCGCGCCGTTTTTCCCCACGCGGTCAACGATTTCCTTGTACATCCGCTCCTGGATTGACTGGTCCTGCACCACGTGGAGGAGGGCCCACTCGATCGACGTGGCACTCGTGTCGGTCCCCGCGCTGATCACCTCCGAGACAAGCGTGACAATCTCCTCCTCCCCCAACGGGCCTCTGTTCCCGGGTCGAAGCCCAATCAGCGAGTCCATGTAAGCCGCCCCGACTGGGCTCACCATTTCCAGCCCATCAACTTTCTCCCCGCGCTCGACGAACCCACGTCGAGCCCGAACCAGCGGGAGAAGGCAATCCAGCTGTTTCCTCCTCAGCTCCTTCGCTTCCTTCATTTGCTTCCGCAACACGACTCCGAGGACCGGCAGAAAGTCTGACAGCTTCGGAGTCGTCATCATCATGACCTCTTTTAAAACGGACTCGATCTCGAGAATCTTCTCCTCCGGGATTCTCGCGCCGAAGCAGAGGCAGATGAGGATGCTGCAGACGGTGAGGCGGGTGTTTCGCATGACGTGGACGACGTTGTTTCGAAACGACTCGTCAGCGAGTCGTTTCATGTGGTTTTGGACGGCCCATTTACGGATCCAGCCGCACTGGCGGATGCGGGCCGGGCTGACGAGCTCGGAGACGAAGTTGCGACGTAGGGCCCGCCAGAGCGGTCCGTACTCGGCCGAGTTGATGGCGCACTTCCCCATGCTGAACACGAGGCGGATCGGGGAGTCGCGGGGCCGGGAGGCGAAGGTGGGCCCGCGCTGGACGAGGGCCTCGTGGATGAGGGCCGAGTCGGTGACGATGATCATGGTCCGCTGGCCCATCTGGAGGGTGAAGATTGGGCCGTACTTGGCCCGCAAGTCGCGGACGACGAAGATGAAGGGGCGGCGCTGGAGGATGATTTGGAACAGGTTGCCGACCAGCGGCCAGCCGGGCGGACCGGGGGGCAGGTTCTTCGGGCCGCCGCCGGTTTTCGACCAGTGGCGCCACCACAGGCGGAGGAAGACGAGGGATGAAATGAGGATGAGAAGGTCTACGGTGAGCTCCATGGTTATGGTGGAGAAGAGAGAGAGAGAGAGAGAGGAATGTTGGGTGGGTTTTGAAGATATGGGTAGGGTTTCTTGTTATTATTATTTATAGAAGGGTTTGGGGTTTTGAAACATACGTAGGTTATTTTTGGGAAAGAAGGGGAAGGAAGAGGTTCATGAATTCGTGATAGTGAAAGTAGTAAGAAAAATATGGAGGGAAGAATGGTGAAACGAAGGATTGGAATAAATGTGGTTGGTGCAACAACTTGGGGATGGCAGAATTGAAGTGTGTGTATTCTACAGTGGAAAGTGAATATAGTGTGTATGTATTGGTGACTAATTTCAACGAAGGAAAATAGTAAGAAAATCTATCATTAAATGGAGTTATTAGACGGTGGGTAGGGGCAGATTCACCATCACTACTTCACTAGGGCAGTCTTACACCTTTATGGGCCAAAATATATATATATATTCCTGTCCTGTAAAACGGGATCATCATCTTGCGTAGTTGTATGAATCGTACAGATTGATATAAAACAAATTCAAATAAATACTGAGAAAGGAAGGTTGATGGGGTCGAGACAGAATGAGTTTAGCAATGAGATGAATATAGCTAAACCGCATAAAGATAAAAGAAACGTGTGTTGTGAATACGAAAGATGGAGTGAGAATGGAGATTTATGTGCCTATAACTTGGTGTTATTCGATGAACGATTAAATTGTTATGGGGTTAATATAAGTAAGTAAATACGAGAAACAAAGACTGGTGGAGTTGGGAAGGGATGATTACCATAAAGCCTAACTCACACAATAATATGACAAGTATGTGATTCTATATTTGAAAAATGGAGATCATGAGAATAAAGTAAGTATATGAAGTTATCTAAGTATCAACCCAAAGCCCAAAACACATCAACATACCAAATTACGTTTTGGTACCTGAAATGTTACAATCCCTTTCTCTTGTTCCCCACAACACCTTTCTCTTGTTCCCCACAACACTTGCAGTAGTACTTTCATTATTTATTTCGTCAGAGTGCCAATGTTACGCTAACATACGGACCTTTGAACAAAGCTGCAATTGAAAGTTGCCCAAAACGGGACATATGTACTATTGGTTGATGGCGACATTAAATTTCTGGTCCAACGCGCCTTTGAGCCGGAGGTGAGCCTTCTCAATGCCAAACCTCACTTGGTTGGTATAATGTTTAAAACTTCATAGAACAACTACCATATCTACGCCATAAGACATAGCCCAATGTTTTGGGAGAGTATGACATGATATAATATAGTGTATGTATATATGATAAAGAAGTAATGGAATGGGTGGCTCATTGGTTGTACAAGTTTTTCATTTCTCTTTTAGTTGTACCTCATAGTAAATCATGTTTGTCCACAAGTATACCATCGGAAATACAATTGAAAAGATTATTGTATAACCATCGAGGGAGTCAAGGGGTAAAGGCGCAGGTTTGTGTGCAGGAGGTTCTGGGTTCGATTCTTGACAGACGTCATTTATGTGTTATCCTCTTGCTGGCTACCGGTAGGGGCGGTAAGCTCGTATTAAATGCTCACAGAGTTTGTCGCGTTCATCATCGCAAGATGGATTTCTCCTCGTATAAAAAAAGATAATTGTATGTAAGACCTTGAGATCCTATGTTCAAAGTGCTCACGACCCCCAATATTAACAAGTAATTCAAGAACATGCCATTACATACATCTGTAAATTTGTAACCCATGATTGACTCTCGTTTTAGTGAATATGTAATGAAATATCTCTCACAATAACTCGTATTATTGAAATTAATTAGTTCTTCGTATCACTTTCGAATCCAGCGGAATGCACAACTAATGGGCCTTATTGAATGAACGGGGCATGGTTCCATGGTGAAGAATTAGCTTTTTGAATAGAGCCCACGAGTTAGAACCCATCCTAAAGAGTAAAATGACAATTCAAGTCAATTATATTACACACTTGTGTCCAGCGCAAAGTTCGCCCCACTCTATATTGTACAAACCACAACCATAACAAAGCCCACGAGAAGTAAAGCCCAATCGGTTAGGTTTTCTATATTTTTAAAAAGTGGCCCGTTAGGTTTTTTATTTTTATTTTTATACTAAAGTGGCCCGTTAGGTTCTAAACCTATGCAATGCAATCAATAATTTATTTAAGGGTTGTTTGAAAATTTCGATTATTTTTTTAGATTGTTACTATACCTCTATTATTTAGTGGAGATTGTTATATCTCAGCTTTTAGCTAAGATTGTTGAGTTGAAATTGTTTTATCTCAGGCTCGGCTTTTAACTGATGTGACATAAACAATAACACATACCAAACATTCTACTTTACGATACATCAAATTCAGCAAATACATATATTCACAACAATACATCTATTTAACAATCATAAATTCCAAACGAATCATAAATTTCTCCCACTCTCACAATAATCCCATTTTTCTGGGATTTTAGAGTACACACTTATATAGAGGAGAAAGAGGAAAGAACATGGCAGAAATTCGTTGAATTTTAGTTGATCACTTCCAAATTATCGTCCTGCTGCTAGTATTGTTATGCTAAAGGATTTTATCTATAGTAATCGAAATTCATCAAAATTCAACATGTTAAATTTATTTGTATCAAGTGAATCGATCACTTAAACCTTTTGTCATCTAAAACTCGAACATAGTCCTTTTTCTGAAAAATAACAAATACCATCGAGGCATCGAGTATAGCTTGGAGAAGATGTATGACATAGGTTATACAAAGCCTGCTTGTTTTCAGTGCATCCAACATTGCTGAATGGCTAGCAAGTAGCAAGCAACAAAGGCGGCAATGTTTCCAAATCTGCCCTTGCGAATACATTATTATATTGCTGCATAGGTTTGGTTTCCCTAGAGGGCTGATGTGTCTCTATTGTTGAATTGATATGGACAGTGACTATACTATGGTCTTTGGGCCATGTTGAGACTTGAGATGCACAACCATTAAACGGTAGATATCTGGTTATGGTCGAACCAAAACGTCGTGTGGCTTTCCATTCGTGAATCGAACCCGGTTCTCTCATCACAAAGCTGCCCAATATTGGTTGTTGTTATCTTTCAACCAACTATAATTCAAATCATCCCCACACACACTATAATCTAACCCAACTCGGTTTACGAACCCAACCAAACCAAGTTCACTTCTTGATCCAAACATACCCAAGAATTTTGATTTTGGATCTTTCCCCTATACGATTTATTTCGGTTGGTTCTATAATGGGGTCTGAAGTTAATTGGTTTATGAAATCTGGGTAGTTAGTCCGGAAATGGAATCAGCAAGTAAACATGGGTTTGCCTCGATGGAACTTAAGCCTGACAAAAAATCAGCACGATTTCGTTTCGTTAACGCGAGGACTTAACTTATTCCGAAATCAAATCACGTTTATAAAAATCCTAACTGAAAGCATTCGCAGATGAACTCGTTCGGGTATAAAAAAAAAAACTTCATCGCAACTTGGATTATATACACATTTGAAGTTCTCGAAACGCATCTAGACTTGATTCGTAAAAGGCTCTGTTCGCCCGGTCTCGAAACACATTCAGGCTTGAATCGAGAAAAGGGCTCCAATCCAATCCTACTAGAATTGAATCCAACAGTTTTTCATGATGTGCAGACCAAACCACATACCCCTAAGCCAAGGAATGGAGGGTGTATAGGTGCGCAAAAGGGTCAAACCCTAGACAGCTACAATTATAACATCTGCCATGTTAGTTGTCTCCATAATAAATTCAAGTAACACAATCCATTTCGTTCACGAAACAAAGGAAAGAAGAGGATGGAGAGGTATCCATCCATGTGGGCTGTAACCCAACTCGATTCAGTTCATGATCACCAATTGACTCTGGTCTTGCTGGGATATTGAAAGAAACTATGGGCGGCAAAAGGGTAGGAAAAACTACCCTTTCTTGCCATATCTAGCTGAGCTAAGCTAAGTAGGTTTGTATTTTTAACCGAGCCAAGTTGATGGAACTAGTGTCTCCATGTAGTAAATGGCAAGTAAAAGTTCAAAGGCTTTTGTCAATAGACTAACAAAACCTTCATAGGATATTGGATTATGCATGGCATGCACCCATTTTTGGCATGTATTTGATCAGGAATGCGATGGGGTAAACCACAAAAAGAGAAAATTTGATGTCAGTAGATTCAAAGTAGAAGAAACAGATCAAGAGTCGATCTTGTGATCTTGTCGGACATTTCTGTTGAAATTGGCAAGTTTGGAGATTGCCTCTTTTATCTCAAGCAATATCAAAGGGAACAGCTGGCTGATTTGAGGCCTTACTTTATATGAATCCTAACGGCTAGTTGCTCTGTCTATATATATCTGTTGGCATCTCTTTCGAAGGTACTTTTGTTGAAGTTTGGTGCGGTAGAGGGCTTTAAGCTGGATTCACAAAAGGGCTTGATACACACAGAGGTAGAGGTTCTGAGTGTGTTGAGGCAGATCAGATCAAGGCTGATCTGGGCTATCGTTTCATCTTCTTTCTGTCTTCTTTGCTGTATTATTTTGTTTTTCTTTGTCATTCAAAACCATAAGTAATAAAGGTCTCCCAGACCATATTCTGGGACGTGGAAGTAAACCATTGCACTTGGGCGAACCACGTTAAAAAGATTGTGTGTCGTTTACTTTTCTGCACTCCTTCTGTACTTTGATTCTCTGAAGTAGAATCCCAGAAACCTACTCTGTTCTTCGTTCTGCAGTCTCTGTTCTCGACTTGTTGAAGCAATTCCCTCTGGAATTGATCTCTCACCGAGACTGGGCTTTTTGCCTGTCGTTTTGGGTCTCGGCTTTAACAAGTAATAATAGAGCTGTGGGCTTAATTTACCTGAGCCCATATTCTTATAAGTGACTGAACGAAGTGTTCCAAACACTCTCTTCCTTCAGTCTTTCACTCGCCCCTTTCGTTTCCTTTCGATTCTCTGAATCCCAAAATCCTCTCACAAACCCTAATTTTTCTTCTCGCGATATCGATTACAATT